CTTTCCGTAATAAACAATTGTTTAGAAAACATGAGAAAATTCACACAAGAAAGAGTCCTTACAAATGCTTAGAGTGTGGAAAATGTTTCACTCAGAATTCATCTCTTTGGAAACATAATAAAACACACACAAAGGAGAAAAGCAACATTTGTCCAGAATGTGGAAAAGGTTATTCCAGCAAATCGTGCTTGCAGCGACATCGGAGACTTCACACCGGAGAAAGACCCTATCAGTGCCCTGAATGTGAGAAAAGATTTGTGGTTTCTTCTGAACTTTGGAGGCACCAAAGGAGGCACAGGGGAGAAAAACTATATAAATGTAAGTCACAAACTGGGGAAAGACCCCATCAGTGCCTAGAATGTGGAAAAAGTTTTTCCAGGAAATCTTGCTTGCTGAAACATCAAACAATTCACACCGGAGAAAGACCCCATCGGTGCCCAGAATGTGGGAGATGTTTTGGCAGAAAGTCAACCCTAATTCGACATCAGAGAATTCATTCTGGGGAAAGACCCTACAATTGCCCAGAATGTGAGAAAAGATTTGTCGATTCTTCTGAACTTCGGAAACACCAAAGGATTCATTGGGGAGAAAAATTCTATAAATGCAGGGATTGTGATAAATGTTTTTTTGAAAAGTCAAATCTTTCTGAACATCAAAGTATCCATACAGGGGTGAAGCCCTATATGTGCATTGAGTGTGGAAGATTTTTCCGTACAATACAAATCCTCAGAAGTCATGAGAATGTTCACAGAGGGGAAAGAAAGTTCAAATGTTTAGACTGTGGGAAAGCATTTAGTTGTCAATCAACCCTTAGAATTCATTGCCAAGCCCATACGGGTGAGAAACTCCATAAATGCTCAGTGTGTGAGAAATCGTTTACTCGGAAAAATACACTTTGGAAGCATCAGAGAAGCCACTTAGAGAAGCAATATAAATGTCCAGAGTGCGAGAAGTCTTTTCATTGCAAATATTATCTTAGAAAACATGTGAGGCTTCACAAAGGAGAAAAGCCCTTCAAGCGTGTGCAGAAAAATATAAAGTGTCCAGAATGTGGGAAGTGTTTTGGTCAAAAGTCACAAGTAATTCGACACCAGAGAATTCACACTGGAGAAACACCCCATCAGTGCCAAGAATGTGGGAGATGTTTTGGCTACAAGGAAAGTCTACTTCGACATGAGAAACTTCACACTGGAAAGAGACCCTATCCATGCCCAGAATGTGAGAAAACCTTTCTGGTGCCTGCTGAACTTCGGAGGCATCAGAAGAAGCACACAGGAGAGAGGCCCTTTAAATGTGGGGAGTGTGAGAAAAGTTTTCTCACAGCAGCACTGCTTCGGGTTCATCAAAGAATCCACACGGGGGAGAAGCCGTACAAATGTGCGGAGTGTGGGAAATGTTTTTCTCAAAAAAGATACCTTGGAAAGCATCAAAAGATCCATACACGGGCGAAGCCATAAAATGCAGTAGAGTTTTGCTCAAAAGCGAGACATCAGAAAACTGGCATGGGAAAAGCCCTAACAGGCCCTGTTGATAGAACAGGTTTTCATAGTTGTTCAATCCTTAGAAATCATTTAAGAGTTCATAAGGGGGAGGGGTGTATTAGAAACTCTCAGAGAGCATTTTTTTATCAACTGTCCCTTAAAAATCACACTCTAATCCAGATAGGAATGATGCACTTTAAATGATTGAAGTGTGATGTATGGTTTGCTTGGAAAAATACTCTTTCAGCACCAGTGAATTCTTACTGGAGAGAAACTTTTATCAGGTCTTAGAAAATGTGGCAGAGATTTTTATCTGATCATCAGATCTTCAGGTGCGCATGAAAAATCCACACAGGAGGAAAATCTTACAGGTGTGTAACATGAGAATATTTTTCCTTGCCCATTGGAATTTCCTGCCTCCTGGAGATTGTCCATTAAAATTGCCTCCTTTAAATTTTCTTTGCCAAATTAAATTTTGTTAGAATTTTTTAAAATTTTAATGCTAAGACGTGAATATGAAAATCGGATGTGAGTGTGAAAAACTTATATCTAATGTGAAATTGTCTGGAAGTGTATGAAGACTCCTGTCTTGGGCAGGGAAGGTAGGACTGGAAGAGTACAGCTCTTGTTATTCTGTTGTAGCCCTATGATTCTAAGAATGTAGAAAGAAAAAGGGACATGGGTGAAAAACAAAAATGCTGACAAAATAGGAGGAAAGCTAAGGCTTCTGCTAAAACCTTGCAAGCCACCAAAAGTCTCTCTTTAGTTGGGCAGGATTAACGAATCCGGGAAATAAATAGAAACATAGGATACGTAATCCTAGAGCAGGGGTCGCCAACCTTTTGGACCTCAGGGACCAGCAAACTCATACTTTTAAATCCTGAGGACCACTAATATGATTTTTTTTTTTAAAAAAGGATAATATATTTAATATAATTTTTTTTATTTTTTATATTAAATATAAATTACTATTTAAAAAATTAATTAATTAAATTTTGTAATATATAAATATGTTATGTCTCACCTTTCTTCTTTCCAAAAAAAGATGAGAGTTCAAACTCAAACAAACACAGGCAGGCAAGATGACTCGGTCTTTACAGAGTTCATCTTTTATACTGATAATGTCCTTGGCAGTCCAACACACTCTGCCTGCCAAGTCCGCAATGATAACAAGGAAAAACTACTCACTGAAGATTCCAAAGCAGACCACAAGAAACAGTCACAATGAAACCTGGAAGAGAAGCAAACTTTGTCCCGTACAAAGTTTCCGGAGAAAACACACCCACTGACTCAGCTCACTCTCTGACCCTCCCAGGCCTCCTACCTTGCAGCTCACATTTCTTCCTACGACGCTGCCTAGGATCAAGCCAACATTCGTCCACTTGACTCCCTGTCAGTAGCTGCTCTGATATGCCTTCCTCCTGATTAATCTCAGGCTGTTCCTCTCGGTTGTCTGATGGAACCTGAGGCATTACCAGGGAGGAAGGCATTGCCAGAGAGGAAGGTCCTGGGGAGGAAGGCATTCCCAGTTCCTCCTCCTCATCTTCCGAGTCCTCTTCCTCTAACAGCACAGGCTCGGGAATCGGAGCCACAACATAAATATATATAAATATATATTTTTAAATATAAAAATGCTTATTTAATTATAAGGAAAAATATAACAAAAAAGCAGAGCCTCCCCCTCAATCTGGTCTCCTGTCATTTCATATCTCCCTCAAGTCAGAGGAAACCTCTCCCTCCTTTACCAGGTGTGGCCGCCTGGAGTTGAGGTAGGGAAGGAGGGCCAGGCTGGGAGCCTCCACCCACCTTGAAGCCTCCCCCCACACCTCGGGGTTTTAACACCTGGCTTCCTTCTCCACTACTGCCTCTTCCTCCTCCTCCTCCTCCAGCACCACCTTCTCCGGGTAGGGCGATTATGAACTAATTGAGCAGCTACACTGATACCCCAGCTGATCTCTTTCCTGTTGTAAGACATGGCATCTGGAGAAAGGAGCTGGCAGCTACTACTTGGCGGTCCCGCGGGTGAGGCGAAGTCATCCCGGTCCCAGTTAAGACAGACCAGGCACAAATCCAGTGTCCCAGCCACGAGGGCTTGGGAAGAGCAGGGGGCGCGGGCGGGCCTAGTTCAGCACAGCGGGAAACCTCCACTCTGGAGTCTGACGAGCCACGTACTGAAAACAAGATGGCTGTCGGGAAGTTGGGGCAATGGGTGATACTGGTGGTGGATGGACTCATATGTGCGGGAGATCGCGGCCTAGGCCTGACCTGGGTGAGGGTAAGGAGAAAGAAACCTCTGGTGTTACCTCCTCCCTCCGTGCCTCGAGGAGGTTGAGCGGCTGCCAGCGATGCCCTCGGGAAGATGTTGCAAGGGGGAGACTCAACCCACCGCTTCAGGAGTTTCTCTTCTTCCTTGCCAGAAGCACTCACACGCAAAGAGCTCACCGCCCCACGGACGCCTAACAAGCCTCCTCCTTCCCGATGAGCGTGTGAGCCTTTCTGGTGAGGAGGAAGAGGGGGTCGAGCCTCCCGCTCACAACATCTTCACCTCAGGGCAACTGCTTCCTGCGGCGCAGGAGGTCCACACTCTTCCCGCTGTTGCTCGGCCCCATCGATGCACTGAGGCAGGAATCGGTAGCCACGACACAGGTTTGCTAGGGAGTCTTCAGGATTGCCCCTCCTCTCCACCTCAGCATGCTGTGGCCCACCCAAATTTTCTCATGGCCCACCAGTGGGCCGCGGTCCACCGGTCAGCAACGACTTTCCTAGAGCCCAACAAAAGCCCGCAGGTAAGAAGGAATTTGCTGATAATTTTGTGATGATTTTAAAAGGCCTTTTGGAAGAGATCGAAATATTAATGGAAACATTAACGGAGTTTTAGTGCATTAGCTGGTTTTAAAACCAATAGCTAAAAGAGGGTTTTTAAATGGGAGGGGTATGGCTGTGTGTTTCAGCACAAGAAGCATTTTATGGAAAAGAGGAGACCGCAATAAATGGATAAAGTGATATCTTGATGTCTTTC